CAGGGGAGGGAGGGAGCAATTGAGGGGACTATTTTATGAACTATATAGATGTCTAAGCAATGTACTGTATACTCGAAACTAATTTAAATAAATAAATTTAAAAAATAAGAAAAATTCTGGCCAATGGTCTGTAAATGAAACTTTTGGAAGGCACCTTACAACCCTCTTTTTTGCTGCCTGGAATGTAGATGAAATATCTGGAGCCACAGTAACTATTTTAGACCATGTGATATGCCCTTGGACCAAACCCTAAGGATGGAAGCCAAGAGATAAGCATAATAGAGAATAAATATTTAAGAGCATGGGTCCCTTATGATGCTGTGGAGTTTTATACCAGCTCTGAGATGCCTACTTCTTTATGATTTAAAACACTAATATTAGGATTTTAAGTTCTAGTCAGCTATACCAAATTCAACTGATATGCTGGATTACAGTTTACTTTGTAGATTTGACTTCTCTCTCATTTATGTCTCAATATCTAGACTTTGGTTGGGGGTAGGGAAGTAACGATCTTGATTCTGGCTGTACAGCCAATCTAGCTTTCCTAGCCCCTCCGCCCCCCACCACCAAATCAAATAAAAAAAAAATGTTGATATTTTAATCCATAGCTTACTACAAGTTTTAGTTTTCAACTGCTTCAGAACTGATAAAGGAAAAGATGGATAAATCAAAATACCTACTGCTACCAAGGACCAAAGCTTGTTTAGCGAGCAGTGAGAAGTTCAAGATGTGTGGAATAAAAGGTATTGCAATGAAGTTTTAGAAGAGACTGATAAAGTCATTAATGATGAGATTACAAAGAACCCTGCGTTTTAAACTCAGGACCTCTGATTTTATCTTTTAACAAGAGAGAACCATCAATAGAGTTTTTCTTAAAGGGAGTGGCAAAATTAGATTTAGTTTCTCAAGATCATTGATAATGTGGAGTAGTAAGATACTCAAAATAAGAAGATGAGTGAGACATAAGAGCCCTTAAGTTATTAGGAAGGAGGAAGATGCCTGGGGCCTGATGACACCATGGGGCCACCTGTCTCCTCCAGGCTCTTTACTATGGCAGGAGAAAAAATACCCCTCTACCTTGTTTAAACACCCTCATTTGGATTTTCTTTTATATATAGGGGAATTAAACTCCTAACTGATGCAGGTGGATGATACTATTGATTTAAAATAGGAAATATATGGTGGAAATTAAGTTCTGGGAAAGGCAAGCTGGTTGCCATAGCTGAGAAGTTAATAGGACCTAAGGAATATCCCTTTACACCAGGAATCAAGCTTAAAGCCATAGAAGAAAAGGAATAAATGAGGCAGCCCAGGTGCGAGAAAAATCAGTTGCCAGAAATTCAGATTTTGTTTTTACTGAATGATGGTATAAGCACAGAAAATTAAACTGGAGGTCTGACGTTGGAAACTAGATTCTAAATTCAAAATTGATAAAAGAAACAAATTAAAAGACAAGTAGTTTTTAAATTAAATTAAGTTTTATTTCCTAAATAGTTATTCTTTTTATTTAGAACTGAAAACCTTTTTCTTCTCTCCTCCTTCCTTTCTTTTCTCTCCTTTCCTCCTTTCTTTCTCTTTTCTTTCTTGCTTTTCCTTCCTTCCTTCCCTCCTTCCCTCCCATCTAGGTTTTAATATCTGATCTTACACTTTGTATCATAATGTTAGGTATGTTATAGACTGA